CTGATGCTGCTTGGCCTGCTGTGTTCATCCAGCTCTACACTGCACTCTGTCTGACAGGAGGCAAGTTGAGAACACAATATCACTCACACAGGTGAGTTCCCAGAAGGACATGTCTGTAAGACTTTGAGAGTAAGGACTTCTCAAAAACCATGTATTTGAGGGAAGGATAACTTCAGGACATCCCAAAGACATTAATTCTCCCAGACTCTTTGCAAACTAGAGAGATGTCTGTTTGTTTTAAATAAAGTGTCCAGGGAATCCAGATGGCTTCACACTGTCCAGATGGCTTCACACTGTACTGAAACTACATCACACCCGGTGCATGAGGGATGGAAATTCCAGCCTGGAGTGCGTCAGACTATCTCACACTAGACTCCCACAAGCAGTTATTCTGCAAAGGGGGACTCTCACCCTTCAGAGACAAAAATGTCACAGTAAATCCATACCATATTGTTTGGAAACATAAGGAAATATTTGTATTTAAAACGTGCCTCTGTTTTCACCAGGTGTCTCAAAGTTCCTCACATCTCTGGAGTGTTGCAGGAAATGCGGGATCCAATCTGTGCACAGAAAGCTCCCACAAACAGCAAGCTGCTGATGACCAGGTAATCTATTTTTGTGATGTTAATAAAGGGGTAAATATTGGCCAGAACACCGGGAATGACTGCCACATTGGTGAGTTGATTTACACCCGGCGGAGTTGACAGATAGCACGTCGGGCACCGCTGCTCTCTGGTTGAGGGTTACATTTGTTACAATAACTTCACAGACTTACTAATGAGCGCCATTTGAAGAAGCTGAATATAACTAGCATCATCCCAAGATGCAGCATGTAGGGAGGCCATTCAGCCGGTCAGAACCTACACCAGCTCAGTGAATCCCACACCCCTGTTCCTCACAGCGCCGCGATTGCTTTCCTTTCAAAAACATTTATCGCATTCTCTCGAACAAACAGGCTTCTATTGCCCCAATAAGCGGAAACTCGACCCCTTTTCCTTATTTTGGCAGTTATTGAATGGAGTTATACCGTAACTCCCAGAGACAGGCATTCAGTGTGGTTTTTGCTGCGATATTTTCTCTTTTATTCATGAAAAATTGAAAGAGCCAATAAATCAATTTTAAAAAAATAACGATTGTCGTTACGAGATCCTGAAAACACCTGAGATTGCAAACGAAAGCGAACAGAAAATGCTGTTGAGGATACAGTCCCGGCAGCTCCTCCCTCTGAGTTCCCGCCATTTCCCCGACCCAGTGGGTCCCAGGGATCAGCTGACATCGAGGAATCGCGCAGAACCCACTGGGACACAGCAGAGAGCTTCCCAAGGATAGATCCAGAGGGACAGAGATCCGCTGATTGAAGGCGTACCGGGACAGAGGGATCTGTTGGGATCTAGGGGGGAGAGAGATCTCTGCCGAGAGAGCGAGAGGGATCCCCCAGGACACAGAGACCTTGGCGGAGGGTAGGATCCAGACCGCGGCAGAAAGTGACCGAGAGTCTTTAACCCACTCAAAACTTCACTGAGACCCCTGCAATTGGGGAAGATCGGAGAAACCCTGCGGAACTGAGATTTCAGTCAAACCTGTGGCCGAGAAACCTGAGGAGGGGCAACTGAAGGGGCAGCGAATCGAGCCTGGCATAGAAAGGATTGCTGAGGCTGTTCTACAATCGGGAAGAGGTCTGTCCGGTTTAGGCATGAACGGGACAGGAGCAGGAGGCCAGTGCCCCACTATGGGCTCAGAAGCTCCCAGCTCCATTCTGATGAGCTTGGAGGCTAAAGTGGCCACTTCGGCCACATATGGCTCCATCTTAATTTCTGGTCTGATCGGGAACCTCCTGGTAATCTGGGTTATTTGGATCTTAAAGAGTAAAAGGTGCATACAGAGGAGATTAAGGTACCACATGGTCAGCATGGCTTGCTCAGATCTCCTCATCCTAACCCTGGGGCTACCCATTGAATTGTACAGCATCATCTGGTGCCCGTACCCCTGGCCCATTGGGAATGTTGGCTGCAAAGGTTTCTATTTGCTCTGGGAGATATGCAGCTACGCGACCATATTCAACGTCTTGGCGTTTAGTTTTGAACGTTATCTGGCTATCTGTCATCCGGTGCAAGCCAAGGTCATGGCAACATCAAGAACCAAGAAGTTAATTGGTATGGTTTGGGGAATGGCTATTATCACAGGGCTCCCTGCTGCCTTTGCAATCGGTGTGGAAGATGCTTGGAAGCCCTTCACATTTGGACCCCAGCCACTACCGCCCCTGTATATCTGCACGAACATTTCTGGACGAAAGGTTATCTTTGATCTGGTGATCTATATCTCATTTTCTCTCTACATCCTGGTTCTCTTGCTAGTTGCTTTCACCTGTAAACAGATGATTAAAACCCTCCTCAAACATCGACCCGTATCTGTTGCACTTAGCAGCATAAACTCCACAGGAAGGCTCCTACCAAAGTTTAAAGAGATCAGGAGGCAAAATGTGGTGCTGTTGGGTGAGTATATGTCGAGAAATTTGCAATTCATGTTTAGAAATCTTGAGGCTTTTCTTGTGGAAGAGAGGGAGCCGAAGGCTATGAGAAAAGTGAGGGGAGTTAGGAAGTATATACAAATGCACGTTTTATTTTAAGTACTTAGCCAACCTCCGATGTCGTTGTTTAAATTATGTGGAATAATAGTGTTTATTGTGACAGCTAAAGGGAGATTAAAGTACCACGTCTGGAGGATAGAAGAATAAGAAACATTCGGATTACTTTTGTGGTAATAGCCGCATCTTCTGGAGAAGTGTAGTTCCTACTATCTCCGAATAAATTTGACGTATTTTACCATTACAAGGGGTCCCCAATTTACAAACTAACAAACGATCATACTTTCGAAAGCGATCCTACACAGGGGTGTAATTTTAAAGAGCCGATCCATGAACGTTTCCTGTACTAACGAACAGCTGCTTTACATTCTAGACTCTAGTCATTCTAGTCATCTAGACGCGAAACGTTAGCTTGCTCTCTCTCTCCATGGATGCAGTCTGACCACCTGTGATCTGCAGCATTCGTTGTTTTCAGCTACATACATTGTTTTGTGTTCCGGCTTGCTTATAAATCGCCTTGCCAAAGGACTCTAGAACGGAACCCATTCGTGCCCGGGGACTGCCTGTTGTGAGTTTTTTGAACTCCTTGCCGCAGAGAGCTGTGGGAGTAGAGTCCTTGTGTGTATTTAAGACTGAGAGAGATAGATTTTTGTCGGGGAATCAAGGGTCACGGGGAAAGGGCAGGAAAGAGGATGTGCAGAACGTTGGATCAGCCATGATCCTATTGACTCGTGGAGCAGGTTCAAGGGGACAGATGAGCTGCTCCTGTTCCTACTTCTCATGGTCTTATGGTCTATGATCATCAGTCACGCTCAGAGTCCATATGTAACTGGGATTGATTTTAATGCCACTTCTATTGTGTTACTGTCCTCCACTCATTGCATTTTACTGCAGAAATAATCCTGCTTTGATTGGGAGGCACTAGTGTAGTTCAGAATGAGTTCTGTTTGCTATTGTTTAGTATTTAAAGAAACTTTGTTGTTTGCTGATTGACGAGTGAGTCAATAGTTTGTAAACAATACAGTTCACTGGAAGTCATAGTGGAAGGTTATTGCTGGATTCTGGATTTCGTGATGTCTAATGAGGCAGACCTGATTAGGGACCTTAAGGTGAAGAAACCCCTAGGGAGCAGTGATCATAATATGATAGAATGGAGTTTGAGAGAGAGAAGCTTGAATCAGATGTAAAGGTATTATGATTGAGTAAAGGAAACTACAAAGACATGTGGGAGAAGCTAGCCAGAGTTGATGGGCAGGGGAGCCTAGGGGGGAAGATGATGGAACAGCAATGCCAGGAGTTTCTGGGGGTAATTCAGGAGGCACGGCAGATATTCATCCCCGGGAAGAATAAACATAGTAAGGGGAGGATGAGGCAACCATGGCTGACAAGGGAAATCAGGGACAGCACAAAAGCAACAGAAAAAACGAACAATGTGGTGAAGATTATTTGGAAGTCTTTAAAAACCTGCAGAGCACAACTAAGAAAGCAATAAGGAAGGAGAAGATGAAATATGAAAGTAAGCTAGTTAGTTAAAAAAAAAAGTTGCAAGAGTTTTCTTAGGTATCTAAAAGGTAAGAGAGAGGCAAGAATGGATATTGGAAAATGAGACTGGATAAGTAATAATGGGGAATTGGTGGAGGAACTAAATAGTCACTTTTCATCAAGTTTTCTTGGTGGAAGACACCAGCAGCATACCAGAACTTCAAGTGTGTCAGGGGGCAGAGGTGAGTGGAATGGCCATCTCTAAAGAGAATGTGCTGGGGAAGCTGAAAGCTCTCAAGGTGGATAAATCACCTGGACCAAGATAGACTACAGCCCAGAGTTCTGAAGGAGATAGCTGAGAGGATTGTAGGGGCATTGGCAGTGATCTTTCATGAATCACTGGAGTCAGAGAGGGTCCTAGACGACTGGAAAATGGCTAATGTAAGAAGGGAGGGAGGCAGAAGACAGAAAACTATAGGCTGGTTGGCCTCACCTTGGTCCTTGGTAAGATTTTGGAGTCTATTATTAAGGATAGGATTGCAGAGTGCTTGGAAGTGCATGGTAAAATAGGGCTGAGTAAGTGCAACTTCATCAAGGGGAGGTCATGCATGACAAATCTAGGGCGAGGCAATAGCCTAGTGGTATTATCACTAGACTATTAATCTGATACCCAGGAATGAGCTGGGGACCTGGTTTCAAATCCTGCCACGATATCTAATGGTGGCTATAAAACCATTGTCGATTATCAGAAAAACCCAACTAGTTCACTCATGTCCTTTTAGAGAAGGAAATCCGCCATCCTTACCTGGTCTGGCCCACATGTGACTCCAGACCCAGAACAATGTGGTTGACTCTTAACTGCCCTCTGAGCAATTAACAATGGGCAGTAAATGCTGGCATAGCTGGCAATTCCTCTCATCCCCTGAATGAATAAAAAAATCTGTTAAAATTGTTTGAGAAAATAATGAGCAAGTTGGACAAAGGAGAGTCAGTGAACGTGATCAATTTGGATTTCCAGAAAGCTTTGACAAGGTGCCAAACAGGGGACTGCTAAATAAGATAATGGCCCATGGTGTTAGGGGCAAGGTACTGGCATGGTTAGAGGATTGGTTGACTGACAGAAGGCAGAGAGTAGGAATATAGGGGTCTTTTTCAGGATGGCAGCCACTGACTAGTAGAGTTCCCCCGGGGTCAGTGTTGAGACCAGAGCTACGCACAATATACATTAATCATCTGGACAATGGAACTGAGGACATTGTTGCTAAGTTGCAGATGGTACAAAGATAAGTGGAGGAACAGGTACTGTTTAGGAGGCAGGGGGTTACAGAAGGACTTGGATATGTTAGGCAAGTGGGCAAAGAAGTGTCAGATGGAATACAGTGTGGGAAAGGATGAGGTTATGCATTGTGGTTGGAAGAATAGACATAGATTGTTTGATAAACAGAGAAAGGCTTCAGAAATCTGAAGCACAAGGAGCCTTGGGAGTGCTAGTTCAGGATTCTTAAAGTTGACATGCAGGTTCGGTTAATGATTAGGAAAGCACATACAATGTTATCATTCATTTCAAGAGGGCTAGAATACAAAAGCTGAGATGTACTTGTGAGGCTGTATGAGGCTGTAGTCAGACTGCATTTGGAATACTGTGAACATTTTGGGCCCTGTATCTAAAGAAGGTTATACTGATGTGGGAGAAAGTCCAGAGGAGGTTTACAAGAATGATCCCAGGGATGAAGAGCTTTCATTTGTGCAATGGTTGAGGACTTTTAGTCTGTACTTGGAGTTTAGAAGGATGAGGGGGATCTGATTTAAACTTACAGAATTCAGAGAGGCCTGGATAGAGTGGACATGGAGATGTTTCCATGAGTAGGAGACACTACTACTTCTACTGAGGGTACAGCCTCAGAGTGAGGGGACGACCCTTTACAACTGAGATGAGGAGGAATTTCTTCAGCCAGAGGTTGGTGATATATGCAGAAGGCTGTGGAGGCAAAGTCACTAAGCGTATTTAAGACAGAAATTGATAGGTTCTTGATTAATAAGGAGTTACATAGAATCATAGAATCCCTACAGTGTGGAAACAGGCCCTTTGGCCCAACAAGTCCACATCAACCCTTGGAGCATCCCACCCAGATCCATCCCCCTATAACCCACCTAAGCTACACATCCCTGAACACTACGGGCAATTTAGCATGGCCAATCCACCTAACCTGCACATCTTTGGACTGTGGGAGGAAACCGGAGCACCGGGAGGAAACCCATGCAGACACAGGGACAATGTGCAAACTCCACACAGACAGTTGCCCAAGGGTGGAATCGAACCCAGGTCCCTGGCACTGTGAGGCAGCAGTGCTAACCACTGAGCCACTGTGCCGCCCGTATTAAGAAGATTAGTTACATGGAGAGGCCAGGAGAATTGGTTTGAAAAATGTATGAGGCATGATTGAATGGCAGAGCGGACTCAGTGGTCTGAATGACCTAATCCTGCTCCTATATTTTACGGACTTATAGTTTATGAGTGATATTATTACTCAGTCTGATTTCGTACACTGGTTGATCTCCTGTGATATTTTACATAAGAATTGCAATTTTCAGAAAAGTGTGGTTAGATTGAGAGCATTTGGGTGTAATTCAAGACCGAATTTAAAATTATCATTGAGAAAAATTGGCCTGGCACCAGGAACCAAATGGAGTGAGTGGCATGGCTAGCATCCATGCCTGAAGGCATCAACCCTAGCTCACTATACACTCAGCCTCCTGCTTCACCTATGAAATCAATGACATAGCTCACTAATCAGGGCTTTCACAAAATCAGCCAAGCTTGGAGCTCAGGTAGTCATGCGCTGTATCTGATCACTGAGGGGTCTTGAGTGAGGTACAGGATAAAGATCTTTCCTTGCCTACTGTGGGGGAAACATCTGCTATCCACTCTAGGGCACTCCTTTAGGGCATTCTCAAGATGTGGAATGCATGGGTAAGAGTTCAAATGCCAAAGATATTGACTATCTGGCTCTGTAACAAGCACCAACAGTCTGCATAACCATTCTTTGATTGTAACATGTATATAATTGAGTAATGAGTTGATTTAATCAGAACACAATCACAATCCGTTTTAAATTAGTGCCCACAACGTAACTTCTTAAAAATTCAATACAGGTTTAATACTTAAAATCAAAAGTAAACCAGAAATTAAATGCAAAAATGCAAAACAAAAAAAAAATGGTGACTGCAGGATATAAGCCTAAACTCTTAAGAAAGAGAGTGCAATCAAGTTGTGTCATTTAGGTATGGTTGCAATGTACTGTTACAACATATTGCTTATCTGTGCAGGATGCATCGTTGCAGCCTTGGCCATTTGTTGGCTTCCATTCCAAGCCAGGCGGATAATGACGGCTATGAAATCCAAAACTCAGTGGACAGAATATTACTACAGATCATATCTGACCATGCAACCTATTACCAACACTTTCTATTACCTCAGTTCTGCAATCAACCCTTTTCTTTACAACATGACTTCTAAACAGTTCCGCAAGGTGTTTGTGCAAGTACTGAGAAGCTGCTGTCGGTCCAGCCCTGTACCATCAAGGCAGGAGAGGAACTCGCAATTAGATTTGAAACAAAAGTCTATCTCGTTAAGTGGGAGACATCCTTATCCAAGATTGAAAGATCTAAAGAATCGTCTCACTGACTAATTCCCACTTTTTTCTTTTGAATGAGGTAAAGATGTTCTAAGCTTATTTAAAATACATGTAACAGGTTCATTCTTTTAAGGCAATAATGTGGCCAAATCACACCAAGGGCTCCATTATTGCCACTTGCCTGACTACAATGATACCTTTTTAGAGGACAAAATTCCAGCCATTTAGGGACAATAAAAAGTAAAATCAATGATTGATTAGCAAAGATTGTTAGTTGAGGGGAGAAGTAATGATACAGAGTGAGGAAAGCAGGAGTGCAAGCTTCACTTTGTGCACCTCCTGATGAACTATTTCATCATCGGGCATTGCTAGTGAGGGTTCTAAATGGTTGTAGTGTAATTTAAACTCATAATACAGGGTTTATAGGCCCATTTTTAAAACCAAAGTGATAATATTTAGAGTCCTGAATGAAGGAAAAAAAATCACTAGTTAGATATGGGCATTATGACAGTATTTATCGCTTAACCTTAATGCCATTGAGAAGGTGGTGGTGCTATGATACCAGCTCGTGTTGATACCAGACAAATCAGATCTCAGAGTGAAATGGTTTGATAAGTTTTACTTTTGCAATATGGAGGATACTCACTGAACATTATCACACAAAAATGTCAAAGCACTTTTAACAAAAGAATGTGTATTTATTACACAAAATCAAAATCAAAGCTATATATATTACAATTTTAAAATATTTTATCATAAACAAGAAAACAGTTTCAACCTTTTTTTCCAGCAATATCCTGTACAGAAACTCAATCCCAGCAATGTATCATTCCCGCCTTTACTTTAAAATTTCTCACTAAACTGGCGAGGTCATTAGTGTTTCTTTTTGGCAACTTACTGCACAATCATCAGATGTGACTCTTTCTATCACTTTCTCTCCATGAGACACACAAACAGGCAAAATCACTGATTTATCACTGACTTTGACTTCTTTCAGGCTGCTGAAAGTAAACTTTTTTGTTTCCATGTTTTCTGACAGCCTGAAGACACAATCCAAAAACTGCCCTTCTGCTGGAATGGATTTTTTCTTCAGAACTCATCCTGATTGTGGCCCCTGGCCATCTGTATTACTGTAGCTTGTAAGAATTCTACATAGTAAATGCCCAGCAATTATCTACCCATTGGTTTTTTGTTCAACTTAAGTCATTTGCTTTCTTAGAAAGGTTATTTTAAACTCTCAGTTCAGAAAATAATTTTCTGTCCATTTTTGAAAAAGCAAGTCACTGTCACAGAACTAAAAGTCCATTTTAACTCTACTTTAGGACCAAGTTCAATCTAGCAACAATGATTCAACAGCCAATATGTGTCCAGGTTAGGATGATGTGTGACATGAAGTACAACTTGCCATTGGTGGTGTTTCCTTGTGTTTCATATTTTAGAATTAAGTTTGTTGTCACACATTCTCAAGTACAGGGATACAGGAAAAGTGTACAAAGTTGCCATTCCTGGGTGCCATCTTAGGTGCAAAGGTACCGAGGTACAAAATCTTAGGTACAAAATAGAAAATAAATAAATTAGAGGTTAAACAAACCAGGCCTTCACAAAGTAAATGAGTAAAGAATTACACCCTTTCTTTAGCCATGGGCCTGCAGGCACTCCACGCTGGGCCTCCGCATGAGAGCTCGTACTCCCCACAAGGGCTTGCTCTCCTCTGTGCTGTCCTTCTAGACGGTAGATGGTGTGGGTTTGGAAAAGTAAGTTATTTGTTAATCTTTTTCTTTCCTGTTCCAGGTCTGTGTGATCAAGAGGACAAGATCATCACCTTCTCTGGCACCAATGCTGTGCACAATCTCTTGTGCCAAAAAAAAATGTGCTTCTGGCTTAGAAATCACTGTAGTTACCAAGGGATTAATCCTGAAGAATTTACTAAATAAATTGCACCCTTGCATCCCTGCTCCTCCCAATAGGTCCATAGATAGACACTCCACCTCCTGCGATACTGAGACATTAACAACCAGAAGCTCCCAGCTGCAATAACCGGTCTGTAATGAGCTAGCTGATATTCATGTCCACTATTGTGTTAATGCCTTCCTAGTGATGCTGCTTCCTCTGAGTAACGTTCCACACCAGTGATTTGAGCTCAAACTGTAGGCTGGCATTTCCAGTGCAATCCTGAGAGAGTGCTGCACTGTCAGAGGAGCTGTTCTTCAGATGAGACATTAAACTGAGGCCCTCCTTGCTCTCTAGGTCAGACATAAAATATCCCATGGCAATTTTCAAAGACCAGGAAGGTTCTTTCTTATGTCTCAGCCCATACGCATCCCGAAATGAACATCACTTCTGTGGGAGCTTGCTGTGTGCAAGTTGGCTGTCACGATCCATACATTACATTAGAGATTACGTTTCAGAAGTACAAGATCGAATTTGGCTGTAACTGAAATTGAGATGTTCTGAGGTCATGGACAGTGTTGTAAAAATGCAAGTTCTTTCTTTCTCACGCTATGTAGCAGTGTGATCACCAACCCTGTGTTAGGTTGTGAAGCAAGTGATTCCTGTTGGAACATTGTGTGAGAAGTGAGCAGTTTGTCTGATGCCCTTCTTGATCATAGAATCTGACACCCTCTATCCAGCCAGTTGGAAGAGGGGAGAAAGTTTGTCCACCACATGTGTAATCCTACTAATGGAGACTCTTGCATTTTTGGGTGAGGTGAAGAGAGAAAGAAAAGTATTGGTCATGTAATTGATCAACTACAGTGGCAGGTTTTAATTTCTGCACTATTCCTACATTGATTGGTTCCTGAGCAATGATTCTATCAGCTGCAACATTCTCTGGGTGTGAGTTTAAGGCAAATCTTGAAATATAGCCAGGAAGCTGCAGGTCCAAAATGATCAGTCCAAGCAGGCTCTCAAACCCTGCATTACTGGGTTAGAAACAGCAAAGGTGTTTAAGTTGCTGCAAGATTTGTGGTTGTCCATCTGTTGATCAGTTTGTATTTAATTTATTCTTTAATCTGTGGGAGATGTGTGCATAGGAGCAGAAAGATTAAAGTGGCAGAGTGTTCCATGCAGCTGCTGTGAGTTCAGATTACGTCAACATGTAGTATCTACCAAGTATCTCCCCACATGACACCAACTTGCATTTACATAGCACCTTTGGTGTTGTAAAATGCCCCAGTGCACTGCATGAGATCAATTCTCAAACAAATTTGGCACATAAACAACTATTGGGACAGATGACAAAAAGCTTGGATAAAGAAGTAGATTTTAAGGAGCATCTTAAAAGAGGAAAATGATGTAGAGAGGCACAGATGTTTCGAGAGGGGATTTCAGATTGTAGGGCACAGGCAGCTCAGACCACAATCCATCAATTGTGGAGCGATTAAAATCAGGGATGCTCAAGAAACCAGAATTAGTGGAGTGCTGAAATCCGGGAGGGTTGTAGAGCTGGATGGGATTGTAGAGACAAGAGTGAGATCACAGAAGAATCTGCATAGAGTCAAACAGCATGGAAACAGACCCTTCGGTCCAACTAGTTCCCAACCTAAACTAGTCCTACTCGTCTGTATTTGGCCCATATCTCTCCAAACCTTTCCTCTTCATGTATTTATCCAAATGTCTTTTAAATGTTGTAACTGTACATGCATCCATCATTTTCTCTGGCTGTTCATTCCGCACACGAACCACTCTCTGTATACAAAAGTTGCCCCTCATGTCCTTTTTAAAAATTTCTCCTCTCACTTTAAAAATATGCCCCCTAGTTTTAAACACCCCAACCCAAGGGAAAAGACCCTTGCTATTCACCTTACCTATATCCATCATGATTTTATAAACCTCAGTAAGGTCACTCCTCAACCTCCTACGCTCCAGTGAAAAAAGACCCAGCCTATTTTTATAACTCAGACCCTTCTTCCCGGCAACATCCTGGTAAATCTTTTCTGTAACCTCTCCAATTTAATAATATCCTTCTTGCAGCAGGGCAAACAGAATAGGACACAGTTTTCCAGATGAGGCCTCACCAACCAACCCAACACGACTTCCCAACTCCTATACTCAATGGTCTGAGCAATGAAGGATGAAAATGAAAATTTTAAAACTGAGGCATTGCTGAACTGAGAACTAGTGTAGGTCAGCTAGCATGGGATGAAGGATTAGTGAATTTTGGTGCAAGTTAGGACATGGGTAGCAGAACTTTGGCAGATATGAAGGGTTTGGAGGTATGTGGGCCAAATGCTGGCAAGTGGAACTAGGTCAGATTGGGATATCTGGTCGGTGCAGATGAGTTGGACCAAAGAATATGTTTCTGCGCTGGATGACACCTAGTGAGGTTTACAGAGGGTAGACTTGGGAGATCTGCTAAGAGAGCATTAGAATTGTCAACTCTAGAGCTACAAAAGATGTGGTTTGGATGGATGTCGTAGATCCTAGGGCTCAATTTTAACAGGAGCAATTTATTCTATCTAGGATTCCTCCCTTGACAAGCAACACTCAAATTAGAGCCTCTTGCAAAATATACGTTACCAGGATGTCAGTTCAGCGTAAAAATCAATTCACTGTAAAGGACTCTGAAGTACATTGAAGCAATATATTTATCATACTGCAATTAGCTTTTAACTTAATGGTGGAGAGTTTATTGGCAAATATTTTTCATCTTAGTTAATGTTTGTTCTGCAAATAGAGAAAATCCATTATTGTCACAATAACTATTCTCCAAGGTCTCTTTTTGGTGTTTCTGTCTCCAGTAAAGGTGGAATTCATGGTCATGGAAATTTACAGGTAGCATTTCAGACTCAGTGAGTGAATCAGAATTGTACAGAAAGGCAAGTGTTAATCTTTCAGGCAGAGCCTTTCAGTTCAGCTTATTTAATTACTACCACTGGGCATTTCAATAGAAGCAATACAGTTATTGATCCCATTGTGCAAAATAAATACTTGCATTTATATAGTACCTTTCACAACATTAGAATATTGCTCAATCCTTGACAGTCCTTGGGGTAGTTTTGAAATGTAGTCACTGTTGCTCTGTATGAAATGTGACAGACAATTTGTGTACAGCGAGCCCCCAACAATGAGATAATGAACAAATAATCCATTTTTAGTAACATCAGTTGAAGAGTAACATATTGATCCAGGTCACCAGAGAAAATGATCCCATTCTTTGAAATTTTTTACAGCCAAGTGAAAGGGTAGACAGGGCTTTGCTATCATGTTAGATTTGTAAGACAACAGTTTTGTAGCAAGGGAAGATTTAAATGATATTATAACTATCAGTGTTTCATGTGCACTGTAACTGCCAATGAAATGAATCCATTATTGCTGCAGTCTAAACAGAAACTACACAGCACTTGGTTCAGTGCAAATTATTTGAGCAGGGGAGCTCATGTTTGTCATTTTCAATCATCAGTCTTGCTCTCTAGTTTAAAGAAAAGCTTCTCCAAAAACAGGATAACACAGTGAAAATTCTCATAAATCATAAGCTGTCTTGCATTTCTGTAACATTATCAAGTTTGGGATTGAGGTGCTGCCATATAACACATTCTACTCAATACAAAGCACACATTCCAGGCAAATGTTTATTTTTTAAAATAAGTACCATTACTTTTGTTCAATTTTCTTTCTTTGCAATATTCTCCATGTTTTTGGCGTGGTATATGGCAGAATTGCATGGCATGCAGTTTGGGAAGGTTACTTAATTAATTGTTACTTAATTAATTGTTTTCACTGTTTTAGTAAAGTCCCTCATCGCACAACACATCATGGAATTTTACAAGCCAGAAACAGACCATTTGGGGTTTATGATTTACATGAATTTCCTTGCAACTCACTAATGTAACCCTACCAGTAAATCCTTCTATTCCTCGTGTATTTATCTAGCTTTTTCTTCAATGATTCTATGCCATTCGTCACAAGAACTGCTTGTGGTACTGAGTTTCTGAGTAAAGTTTCTTGGATTTATTACTGAGTCTCTTAAATATATGGCCTGTACTTTTTGCATTTCTCATATTTGGAAACATCCCTATGACGGCAAGGCATTTGCCATTGTAATTGTGCTTCACACAGCTGAACTGCTGTTGTTCAGGTGCTGATAGTTAAGGTCCAGCAATGACAAAAAGACAGATGTATATTTCAACATCAGCATTGTGTGTGACCCGTTCAGGAACTTGAGGTGGTGCTGCACTCATCATCTGTTGTCATTTTTCTTCCAAGGGGAGGTGCATAGTTGCTAGTTTGGAAGAGGCAGTCAATAAAGCCTTGGCAAACTTCTGTACCATCTTCTAGATGGTACATTCAATAACCCACAGTCCACTGGTGGTGAAAGAAATGTATGTTTAAGCGGGTGGAAGAGGTGCCCATCAATTTTAACAGGACAATAAGGCAGAACAGTGGAATTCTAGTGAGTGGAAAAGATTTATGGCACCAATTATCCACATCATGGATCTGCAATCTCAATCAAGCAGACATAAGGAACTTAGTCAAAGGAGGAGAGGGAATGTCATCAGGACAGGAGAAAGCCACGCCCATCCCTCTGACTAATCAGCTGTATTACAATAAAAGCCCATAACTGGAGAAGTTAGGGGAAAAGAAATGAAATGATAACGGAAGAAAACATTTGCATTTATATAGTACCATTTCTGACATCATGAAATACTTTGTAGATAATTAAGTAGTCTTGAATTGTAGACGCTGTTATCATGGAGGAAATGTGGCAGTTAATTTATACACAGTGAGTCCATAAGCAGGAATGAGATAAGTGATCAGTTTTAATTTAGGAAATGTGTTAAAGGATTTCACTAGAAAGATGGTGGCTGAGAGGAGACCTGATAGAGGTCTACAAAATTATGACAGGCATAGATAGGGTGGATATTCAGAGGTTTTTCCCCAGGGTTGAAGTTTCAATTACAAGGGGGCACAGGTTCAAGGTCAGAGGGGGAAAATTTAAGGGAGATGTGCAAGGGATGTTTATCATGCAGAGAGTGGTAGCAGCCTGGAATGCACTACCAGAAGAGGTGGTGGAAGTGGGCACTTTGAAGACATTTAAGAGGCACCTGGATGGGTACATCAATAGGGAGGGAATAGAGGGATACGGATTGAAAAATGGCAGGTTTGCTTTTAGATTAATTAGGGCATGATGGCCGGCACAGGCTTGGAGGGCGGAAGAGCCTGCTCCTGTGTTGTACTTTTTCATTTGTTCAAATAACAGCAAGACACCAAAGAGAGCACATCTGTGGTTCTTTGAAATAGTGCTTTTACATCCATCTCAGAGGGCAGATGAGGCCTTGGTTTAATGTCTCATTAAGAAAAGCACTCTCTCAGTTCTGCAGTCCAATGTCAGTCGATATTGCATGTTCTAATATTCTAGGGTGGAATTTGAACGCATAACCTTGTGACTGAGAAGGGGGACTGCTGCCTAATGTCACACGTTTAATTAGTTTTGTTCATCTTTCCCCCTGAAATTGATCACCTTCTTTGTATTCAAGTGTTTAGATGATGTTGACTTATGAGTTATTTTAACCTCAGAAATGGTTTGAAAATTAAAAGCAAGTCAAAAGTTTCATAATATTAGACAAACCTGAACCCCCTGTTTCTGTTTTAAATGGGTACGGGATGAGGGGCAGATAACCAGCCCATCTCCAGGAGTTGTGTTGGTCATTTAAACCTTTAAAATCACAGAATCCCTACAGCACAGAAAGAGGCCATTCAGCCC